CTGTGCTCCCCTCAGCCCTGTGCTCCCCTCAGCCCTGTGCTCCCCTCAGCACTGTGCTCCCCTCAGCACTGTGCTCCCCCTGTAGCTGTGCTCCCCCTGTAGCTGTGCTCCCCTCAGCACTGTGCTCCCCTCAGCACTGTGCTCCCCCTGTAGCTGTGCTCCCCTCAGCACTGTGCTCCCCTCAGCACTGTGCTCCCCCTGTAGCTGTGCTCCCCTCAGCACTGTGCTCCCCTCAGCACTGTGCTCCCCCTGTAGCTGTGCTCCCCTCAGCACTGTGCTCCCCTCAGCCCTGTGTTCCCCTCAGCCCTGTGCTCCCCCTGTAACTCTGCTCCCCCTGGCACTCTGCTCCCCCTGGCACTCTGCTCCCCCGGCATGGCTGCCCTGCTGCCCCCGTGTCCAAGACGAGGGGGCTGCCGGCACATCCCCGCTCAGCGCTGCGCCCTTCCGCTCCCCTCGCCCGCGCTGCCCCATCAGCAGTAACAGTCTGATTAATTCGCTTCCAGCAGGGAGCTGATGGGGCCAATGATGGAGCCGCTGCATCAGGCGCGCTGAAATTGATAGTTTTTCACAGTTACAAATGAGGAGCCTCCTCAGCTGCAAATGGCGCCCGCACAGTCGGACTCCGGTAATGATCATAAAGAGGCTCCTTTAAACTGCGAAAGCCCCTGGGAGCGGGCGGGGGGGCGGCTGCCGCGCTAATGAGAACTACAAGGGGCGAGCAGGCATGGAAATGGCTCCTCCACTCTTGATGTGCATTTAACTGCTTTTTTAGTGCGGCGGCAGAGCCAGGAACGAAGGAGTGATGAATGCAGCACAAAAGCATTTATTTTCCAATTCGGCAAAGTGGCTACGTTGGGAAATGTATGAATTATTTTAATTCACTCAACTGTCCTGAAACATCACTGAGAGTGAGTGAGCGTGGGGGGAGGGGGCGGGCCGCGCTCAGTGTGTGCTCCAGAGACAGGAATCACTTCTATTCCTTCAACTGCCCCGAAATCTGGGGGACGGGGGTGCCAACAAGGTGCAGTGTTGGGGGAAAGCAGTGGTACCCCAGTACAGAGAGCTCAGAGCAAAGTCAGAGCAGAGGGCTTGGAGGCATCCTGCTGCAGAGCAGTACCCCTTGGCTGGAGCTTCCCAATGCCTTGCAGGACAGCTTCTTCTCTGGCTGGGACACTGCCAGCTGACCCTCACTAAGGGGGACAGCCACAAGGAGGCCCAGAGGCTGTGTCTGACACTCATGAGCAAACTCTGGGCTCACAGCCACGGGGAAGAGCTCAGAACTGCCCCACTGCCGAAATGAGTTCCCGTACCCGGTGCAGCTGAGGGGAGAAGGGCCAGAAGTGCTACTCACCGGGGTTGGGGCAGCTGCCAGGGATGGCCACAGCCTCGTTCCACTGGTCTGCACTGGAGACAGAGTAGGAACGCTGGTGCATCCCGTCTGGCTTGGAGCTGAAGCCCACAAGGTTGATGCCACTGATGGAGCGCTCGGAGTGCAGGGAGGTGCTGCTGGTCGAGTGGGGAGCACCTGCAAGAGAGACGAATGAAGCACTGCCTGGAAGCACTGTGGGAGAAGGCAAAGCTGTCCTGTACTTGATGTCACACTTTTTGGGTGGCTCCACATGAGGACAGGCTCTCTCTGGCTCTCCTCTTCCAAAGGGTGCTTGTGTATCACCCCAAAGGTGCTGACAGAAGAGCCCCGGACGCCCCACTTGCCAGAGGGACCTGCTGCTTAGAGGGTTGCAGAGTAGCACCCCAGGATGCACAGCTGGGGATTCCGGCACACAGCTTCCCCGCAGCTGGAGTTCAGTCATGATTTTCACTACAGCCTTCGGCACCTGGGCAAACCCAAACCCATCCCACAACCAGCACACCCACTTTCATCTCTCATCTTCACTTTATTGTGTGTCCCTGGCAGGAACTCCAGCCATGCTGGGGGCACTGGGAGAGAGCCTGAAATCACATGGACAGTGTCAAAGAAACAAGCAGGGGAACAGATGTCTGTAAGGTGGGGATGGCAGGTGGAAGGTCCTTTTCCCACTAGCTCAAAACTACTGCGGCTGAGCCCAAGAACCTGAACCCTCAAGAGAGGAGTGCTTTTGGGACTAGAGGCTGTCAGAGAGGACAAGATCATGCAGTGATGCAAAATGGGTCAAGTGTTTCAGGATTATAGGAATACCCAAAATGTCCAGAATAGCAAACAATGACAGGGAGCACACACCCTCCCGTTCAGTCTGCAGGCAATCTGCCACAGAGAAGGACACTGGCCCAAGGGATCCCACTGCACCTGCCCACCACCAGCCCTGTCCCATGCTCCCCTCAGGCCATTCTGCTCCAGCCACTGCAGAGCAAGTATTCTGGGAGCTCAGGGGTGAGAGAAGGTGGGTCCCTACTCCAAAGCTACATCTCCTCCTTCCCTGCCCGGAGGCACAGACACTGAGCTGGGACTCCCACTGCAGCCCACCTGGCCATGGCCCAGGGCAGGGCCACAGAACAACAGCTCCAGATGCTGCACATCCACAGCTCCAGCCCTGCAGTCATGATGAAGCTGGGCTGCGAGGAACCAAACACTGCTCCGATGGGACTGGTACCAGTGGGAGCCTTCCATGGAAGCAAATGAACTCCTGTAGAAGCAGGTCCTCAGTGGGAGCTGCTACACCCAGCACAGCTCACCTGTCTTCCTGTGTGAAACCAGATTCACTTGGCCCTCATGGACCCCAGGATGGCTGAGGTAGAAAGGAGCTCTGGCTTCATCCTGTACAGCCCAGTTCAAGCTGGTCCCCCCAGAGCCAGTGGCCCTGGACCGTTTCTTATGAGTTTAGAGCATCTCTAAGAAGGGGGATGGCATAGCCTCCCTGGGCAACCTATCCCTGCACTGTGCCACCCTCTACAAAGAGCAGAGCCCCACAAAATCCCATAAGAAGCTCCAGAGATTGTACATAAATACATGTTTCTGTCCCTGCTGTTTCCATGAAAACCCAAGGGATGCTATTCAGATGTGCCCAAGCGCAGCCAGGGCTAATGAGTGCCTTACAGGACAGCTCAAGAGGCCAAATACCCCCCCACTAAAGGCAAGTGCTGAAAGTAGGGGTGATGTGGCCACCAGCCCTGCATCAGGCATGCCTGCCACCCACCATCCCCACCACCACTACTGTCCTTAGCAGCAGCAGCAGCAGCAGTACTCCTTCATCACCAGCTTGGCAGGCACCTCCCACGCTCCTCTTCCCCGTCCTCATCCTGGACCAAAATGCCCTTTCCCTGCAGAATTGTGCAGGGATCCCCTGCGAGCCTTGCCTGCAGATCCTGCCTGCCAGCAGTGCCAATGGAGAGCTTGCTGGGACACGGAGTCCTGCACCCTGAGCTGCCAGGACCCTGTACCCTAAACTGCCAGACCCTGATGCCCTGCACCCTGTGCTCCCATAACCCTGACCCCAAGCTGCCAGGACCTTTCTTGCAGAGCCACATTGCCTGCCTCCAGCCTGGCTGCTGCATGTTCCCCCTCCTCCCCTTGCTCAGCGCCACAGAAACACGTGTAAAACCATGACACTGACTTTGCCTCTAATTAGCCCTTAATTTACAAGACACACTCGGAAGGGTAATTAGCTGGCGCTCTGCTCCTGACTGCTGCATCCATCTCCTCTCTGCCTCCTCGTGGGAGGGAGCCTGCTGCTGCTGAAGCAGGGACAACGCTGCTCTCCTGGGACCAGGATGAGCTTGGTCCTGGGAACAGTGCTGCTGGGCTGGGCTAGAACTGGATGGGATGGGATAATGGGATGGGATGATGGGATGGGATGGGATGGGATATGATGGGATACTCAGAGCTCAAACAGTGTCTGCCAGCACAAGCCCCAAGCACCCCCAGCCCTGGTTATGGCCACAGGCATGGAGCAGAGGAAGGTGAAGAAGTGAGAGCAGGAACAGAGGGCCTGGGAGAAGGTCCTCCTGCAGAGGGAGAAGTCCAGCAGGGCCCTAGGGAATGCAGATCTGACCCCTGCACCCCCACCCAGCCAGGCCAGGAGCCCCAGCCCAGCAGGACATGCCCTTTCATCACACTTCTGAGAAGCAGCACAGCCTGCCACAAATGCCAATGTTTCATTCTGAAACAAGCAACAGCTTCCATCAGCCTCTGCAGCCCCTCCAAGCTCCCTGCACCTCACTCCAGCTGCCTGGAGTCACCCAGCTGTGGAGGAACTCCCTCACAGCCCAGCCACTTGCTCACTCACAGACCTCACACTGTGCAACTCCAGCTTCTCTGAGGGAGCTGCTGGGTGGTCCCTCCAAGGCCAGAACTCTCAGGAATCGTTTTCCTTTGGAAGTGACACCCTGACATGGATATGTTCCCTGTAAATCGGGTAAGTGACAGGTGACATGTAAATACTACCTGCCCCTGAGGCAACACCTGCAGGAACTGAACTCCCAAACTGCTGACAGTTCCCCAAGTCTCTCTCCCAACCCCCCCAAAAGAAACCCACATGGCTCCATGGTGCCTTTTCAGTACAGCCCCACTGATGATGTGGCACTGGATGGAAAATTACCTAAAACCAGAATGGCCTTTTCCCAGGCATGATATGTGGCAGCCCAGATGCTTTGGTGGAACACCTGGATCAGAGCAAACTGGGAATTTTTCATTAAGGTGTGGCTGCCCAGGGAACAGGATAAAGAGGAGTTGGCCAAAAGTACACCACCAGTGGGGAAGGAGATCATTTGCAGTCACTTGAGAATATTTTTAGGATCTCTTTAATATTTTCAAGAAAAAATTGGCAAAACAAAACACAGAGGCTGGTGAAATTTCCTGGTGACATGCTGGATGCTGCTGTCAAGCCCTTATAGTGTAGAGGAAACTAACTTTGGCACAGGGAATGGGCTATGCTGAATTTTAAAGAGGCACGAGCTTGAGAGCACTTTTGGGATCCCCCTGGGCCCATGACCAAGTACAGGACAGGTGTTTCCTCTGGAGTGCCAGGCCCTGCTCCCTCACAGGCAGAGGGAAGCTGCTGCTGCACCACAGTGCAGAGGGACTGTCAGCTGCAGAGGGACTGTCAGTGTGGCTCAAGAGGGTGATGGAGGTGCTCCAGGATGGGTGAGGACACCCTGGCATGGAGCAAACCCTGTTTTCTCTGGTACTGCAGAGGCCAACAGCACAGAGCAGAATAATGTTATTGACTGTCTGCCAAACAGTGTCCCAAGGAGTCATCTGTCACTCTGCCCCTCAACCACTTGTTGCCAACACATCATTTATTCCAAATAAAAAACAGGATTACTGTGAGTCACTTTAGCCTACTGGCTCCCCAGAGCCTGGCTGGAGCCTGCAGCTGAACATGGCTCAAAGCCTCCCCAAAAGCTATGACTACTCAGGACCCTGAGCTGGACTGGAACACAACTCCTGCCAGTGGGAAACCTCTACTCCCAGAAACCAACGGGTTCTTGAAGGGAGGTGAGAGCCAAGGAGCCTGGTAGAGGTGCCTGCCTGTGAAAACACTGCTGGGGAGGATATAAGTCACCCCCAATGTCCCTGGGCCAGCAGCTGCTGTGGCTAGAACACGGTGATCCTGGGTGCCCCCGAGGCTGCTGTTCCCTGAGCCACCTGTGCCACAGAGCCAGTCCAGAGTCAGGAGTCTCTGTCAGGTTGGGCTTCCAAACAAAGCACTGCATGCTCTTACCTGGATACTGTTGGCTCCTTGCTCCTGAACAACTTCCATGAGTCCAAAACACATGGGCTGGCTCCTACCAACCGGGAGCCCCAAGATGCAGACGTGTCATTTGAAAGACACCGACCTCTGTGCTCTCCTCGGGAGCCCACCATGCAGAGCACCCATACACCTCCCAGACACGGTGGGGCACGTTCCAGGGTGACAGACAGGTGTTCTTCCCAGCTCTGCCAACTGTGAATGTCTGTGTGGAATCACTGATCCCAAGTGGGCCACTGAGGTTTCCCAGCCCAGCTCCATAGCAGGGCCATCAGGATCTGCCAGCTTGCACACAGCAGGAGCCATTGCCTTGCACTGGGCCTCACAGATGCTCTGACACAGGGAATCTCCCTCCTCTCTCAGTGCTGCCTTGCAGAGCATGGTTTTGGACATCTGCACGTGCTAAGTAACTAAGTGACACCTCAGCTCCTACCAAAGCTGACTCACGGTGGGTAAAAACCATCAGGACAAAAAACTGCATGGTGCTGGTGTCTCTGGGACAACTGAGAGCCTGGGCTGGCTGTGGCAGCAGGACAGGACACCCCCCATTCCTCAGCCAAAGCTGCAGGACACGCAGGATGAGCCAGTGCTTCTCCAGCCAACACACCAACTCACCTCTGGTTTAGAGGGCGACCGGCCCCCGTACAGCCCTACAGGGCCCAACAGGACGAGCCTGGGAACGGGTACTTCAGTGACACTGCCCCCAAAATCCTGCACCGAGAGCACACAGCCAGCCTGGGAACTGCAGGCAGCTGCAGCTACTCCGTCTGTCTCCAGCCTGAGCTCTGCCTGCACCAAGCCCCCACACAGAGCCCTCGCTGCCAGCTGAGCCACCCCACTC